ATTGGTGATTCTAAATTGTCCGTAGGTGTGAATGTGAGTGTGCTTGGTTGTCTGTCTCTAAGTGTAGCCCTGTGATAGACTGGTTACCTGTCCAGTAACCCGACACAAAGAGACACCGGAGACTCAAGATGACTTATGTTGAAATAAGGTTTTGTGAATTTAGGAGAAGTGACACTAACAGAGCAGCAGTTCATGCATGCGATGTCAGCATTGGTCAGCTTCAGTCTGATACTTTCCTTCGTTGGGAAGCATCTCTAGATTTATGGATGAGAGGAAAACAAAAGATCGTCTGGCGCCTTGGTGCAATCTGGCCTTGAGAGGCACAGCGAGTGCCTGCCTGTCGTCCTACATGAGGTCAAGAATCTAGAAGATTTGCAGGTTGGTACACGTGCTACAGATACGACCTTTACTTGAGGAGGTCAAGAGAGGAGTTATGGGTAAAAGCTCTCTAGAGGCTTCACTCCAGAGAGGAAAGTAATTTTTCATTCACGAATAGAACAACAACAAAAGGCATCTGAAGGCACTCAGCATGCAGAGCTTTGTGGTGCTGATTTAAATCGTCAAACAAACTGGTTGTGTTGCTTCAAGTAGTGGCAACAAGTGTAAAGACACAACCGACAGAGTACCGGTTTTTGTAAACATCATGTTTTCTGTAGCCAAAATATTTCCACACAACTGACTAGAAGTGAACGGTTAAAATGATAATCCTGATTATTTTGATCAATATTGATTAATCAATTTATCACCATTATTGATTGATTTTAGTATATTTTAATGCACTTTCACACAAATCAATAAACAGAGCATTGATTACATTTCCATGTTTGGCTACATTCCACCTAATCGGCAATTAAAATATGACTTAAAACAACCTTTGCCTGAATATAAATAAAACTGAACCCAAAACGCCTCACTGGCCCAACATCTGCTTTTTTGATAGATGCTACAATTTCCTGATGTTCCCTAAACGTCTCACTTGCAGGTCATGTTAGAATGAGAAGCCTCTAGTCTCCACTTGGTTACTGCAGCACAGTAGCTCAGACAGAAGTGGAGTGAAATGACGTGTTTCACCATCGGATTTATCTGAGCCTCTATCTGAGGTGTTTGTTTTCTACATGGACTGTTCTATGAATGAGACATTTAAAAATAAAAATATTGAATTGATCGTGTTCGTTTCATTATGGGAAGCCAAAATCATGATACTGATTAAGACTCTATTGATTTCACAGCTCTGATTTTGTTTCTTTGACACAACCAAGTCTCTCTTCACGTTTTTTCTCTTGTTCACATGTGGAGCCTGCATGTCAACAAACTCTGCATCCTTAAATAAAGATTATTCTCCCCCCAAGAACTCTTAAATCTGATTATGACCCATCAGACAGACTTGTCTTGTGGAGTCGTTGTCTAACATAAGAGCTGAACTTTTTATTTTGTATTGAACAAAAAAAGTCATGACATGATGCATCAAGTTGCCTTTCTACCATCATCAGGCACATTGCAATAGTCGATGCTGAAACAATATATCGTGCAGCCAAAGTTAAAATGCATCACAAACACACTCCAAATGTCAAATAATCTAAAAGCTATGGGCATGAAGCTGCTGCCCCCCTATAGGACACAGTATGGACAGTGTCCAGCAGCTGTTTTTCAGAAGCTGTTGTGCAACCCTACATGACTGGAGCCCCTCGGTGAGCTGTGTGTGTTATATTTTTAACATCCAGACACGCTATAGGTAACACTGCTGGTCATTTAAAGCAACTACAGTAGAACAAGGTCTTTTCCAAGGTCAGTAGATACGATCTCCAAACATCAGCACCAATACAGACATTTAAACTCTGTATGTTTTGCTCGAATCTCATTATTTTTGCCGAACAAAACTACATCTATACAGAAGTCTGGAGCCTTGTTGATGGCAAATTGCTAAACTTTTCTGGAACCAGATTGGAAGACAATGATGCTCTCTGTTTTTAATCGCAAAGAGCTGGTTACTTACCCGTCAGCAAACATTTTAAAAACACAAAAACAACATAATTTAATTTAACCGGTGAACACATCCACACAGTTATCTCCAGCCCAGTACTCACTGTGCGTGGAAGTCGACCACCACGGGCAGGTCGCTGTTGATGACCCTCTCTGTGAAGTCCTCATTGTCCTGAACGTTGAAGGACACTTCCCGGCGGGAGGTGTGAGGAAGAGCGCGGGGCAGAGTGCGTGCGGGGGAGAGGAAGGAGACCCGGGTTGTGGCGGACTGCAGGGAGGTGGAGAAAGAAGAGGAGGTGGCGGCTGACGTCGGGAGGCAGCGGATATCTTTGACGGAGAACGTCCAGATTCGACGTACCAGCAGCCTGTGAGCCATCTGTGCACAAAAACACAAAAGAACAGAGGATGAATGCTGATTAATATGATTCACTGTGATCTCAGGTCTGTTTGACACCAGTTGAAGCCAAAGCAGAGGGACTGCACAATGCTTCGACTGTGCCTCAGGAGAGGCTGCTTACGTAAGGACGGCATGTTCATGGCCATCCTCTACAGGCAGGAGTGGGAGTGTTTTCCTCTAAGAGTTACAAGAGATTTAACTGGAGCAAAATCAAGGCTTAACTAGATTCGTCCGGAAGTGGAAGGTCAAGGTAGGCAGCATTATGCAAGTTCAGAAATCACGAACAAATCTAATCAAAAACTGCAGCAAAGCTCGCTTGATTTAAAGCAAACAGATCTTGAATCAACTCTATACCCTGCATGTGTACAAGGAGCATTACACAGTGTTTTGCAGGACAGGGGTGGGAGTCAGTCAATTAATTAACCCTCAGGAAACCAGTAATCTGCTGAAAATGTAAAAACATTTTATAATTTCAGCAGGACTTTTTTCTGATTATAGGAATTATAGTCAATATGAAAGGAAAATCAGGAGAATGGAGTAAAAATATCCACCAGACTTGTTATTCGGGGTTTCATTTACAAATTTACTAATGCATTATTGACATTTTCTGTTTATCAAATCGTCAGAAATAACAGGAAAATGCTTAAATACCTATCACTTAAGGTAAAAGACGTGTCGCCGTTACTTTATATGGAACTGTCATGCTTGCTGTTGTATGCAGTCACCCCCAACTATACATTTAGAGGCAAGAAAATCCTTTTTTTAGAAACTTTTCAAGCAAAAACTATAAATCATAAATAGGTTCCAACTTATTAAATGCCAATATTGGTATTTTTTCTGATAAATAAATAATTAGACTGTGATTAAAACACTTGAATTCTCATTAAACTGAGTATCTGTTGGATTGTGGATAAAACAAGATAACTGAGGACGTCGTCTTTTGGAGACACTGATGATTAACCTTGAAAAGTAATCAGATTAACTGACAATGAAAATAATGTTTAGTTGCAGCTCTCAGCTACTTTCTCTCTTCTGTTTAAATTTGTATTCTCAAACAGAGCTGCAATTAACAACACACTTTTCTGTTGATTGTTTCCTAATTAAACAACTATTTGTTTGGTCTACACACAGTTGTAAAATGATGAAGGACGTGTTTCCCAAAGCTCAAGGCAGTGAAATCAGATATCTTGTTTGGTCCACAACCCAAAGATGTACAGTGTACTGTCATAGAGGAGGGAAAAAACTGAAAACTTTAGGAAGCTGAAATCTGAGAATTTTATATGATCAAATAGTTGGCAATTAGTTTAATAGTTGGCAACTAATTAATTGAAAATGATGTCTGGAGATTTCAATGATGGCTTAATTAATAAATTCCTGACATTCTGTACATACAGCGATTAAAATTCAGTTATTATAGAGTTTACAAGTTCTCTCAAAGACAAGCTACTGTTGTAACTCTAATTTATTAGGTATTTAAGGGAACCAGGTAAGTGACATGAGCTGAACTTGATCAGCAACTAATTGATTGAAAATGATGTCTGGAGATTTCAATGATGGCTTAATCAATAAACTCCTGACATTCTGTATTCCTCTATCAAAGTTCAGATATTATATAGCTTACTAAGCTAATGTTGTTATGCTAATTCAGCAAATGTTAGCCTTTTATTTATCAGGGATCCAGTGAAGTGACATGAGTTGAACTTGATCAGCAACTGATTGATTAGTCGGCTACTAATTAATTTAAATGATGGCTTAATCAATAAACTTTTGACATACTTTATCCATCTATTAACATTCAGGTATTATATACATTAGAAATACTCTCAAAGACAAGCTAATGTAGTAATGCTAATTTATTAGCTGATATTTCGGGGATACAGTGAAGTGACATGAGTTGAACTTAATCAGCAACTGATTGATTTCAATGATGGCTTAATCAATAAACTTCTGACATCCTGTATTCCTCTATTAAAAGTCAGGTATTATATAGTTTATAAATACTCTCAAAGACAAGCTAATGCAATGCTAATTTTTTAGCTGGTATTTAACGGATACAGTGAAGTGACAGCAGTTGAACTTGATCAGCAAGTGATTGATTAGCTGGCAACTAACTGATGGCTTAATCAATAAACTCTTGACATACTTTATCCATCTATTAAAATCCAGGTATTATATAGTTTATAAATACTCTCACAGATAAGCTAATGTAATGCTAATTTATTAGCTAGTATTTCGGGGATACAGTAAGGTGTCAGGAGCTGAACGTGATCAGCAGGAGGTTTCTGTCTGCACTCAGCCATGTTGCTCTGCTGTTATAACACAGTCCGGCTGAACACAACAACCAGCTTTAACTATTCAGCATTTTCCCTGTAAACATTCCTCAGCATTCCTCCCCCACAAACTCTATCCTGGCTGTTTTTTCCAGCCTGCTGTCCGGTGTTTGCCGCTAACGTGCCGGCAGCTAGCCTCCTCCATTAATCTACGTTACGTATGACTTTGCCCTCTTCGTCCTCCTCCTCCTCTTCCTCCCACCGTTCACCCGCCGCCGCCGCCTCTCGGAGTCGAAACACGCAAATAAACTCTCCGGACACTTTCTCGACACGTTTTCTGTCACTCAGAGCCGGTTAGTGGAGGAACCGCGGAGCGTTTTTGGCTCTTACCTTGCTTGTTCGTTCAGCTTTGATCTTGGCCTCCCGGACCAATGAAGTGCTTCCGTCGCGGAGCCGCAGAGAAAAAGGGACCGAGTCGCTTTTTATCGCCTCTTCAGGCCGCAGCGCAGCGAGCAGCGCCCCCGGTCGGTCGGAGCCGGAACTGCAGGGCGCTCCGCTCACCAGAGGGTAGACATAGTTTACGTTTACTGTTTGCTCCTACTGCATAAAAATGTTGAGAATCCTACCTGTGACCTACTTTTTACTTCACTACATTTATCTGGCAAGATTCAAGAGTTTTTATTTGTCACACGCTCATACAGTAAGTATAGTGAAATGCAAAAGACTGTTCTGAAGGCTGTGCAACACCAATAAGACATTATAACGAGGACAAAAAAAAACAAGAGAAAAATTAGAAAAAAGTCACAATGCCATAAATAATGAGGTAGGGATCTTAAACTAGTGCAGAGTACATAGTGCAGCTGTGTGTATGCATCAGAGTGGGTCTACATGTGTGTGTGCACAGGCCTGTATGTTATTTACTCAGTTACATGATCCAGTGTGCTGCTGCAGCAGACAGATGAGTTGCTGTGATTTAGATTTTGACCTGAGGTCAGAGTTCACAGTCCTGACAGCAGAAGCTCCTCCTGAGTCTCTCCTTGATGTTCCTCAGGTGCCGGCCAGAACGTGGCCACACAAACAGTCCGTTGCTGGGGTGGTGTTGGTCCTCCATCATCCTGGTTACCCAGACCACGCTCCTCCTGGTGTAGGTGTCCTCGAGGGTGGGGAACGCTGTGCCCTCGGTACACTGACAACAAGAGTGGTTGTTGCTTTGCAGATTAAAGGTCCTGTAAAGGTACTATAGCAAAGCAGGTACTTCAGCACAGCTATTACACATCACTGCATCAAAGAGAGTATGAATAGTCTGTGTCATATATGAAAATATTTCATTTAAAATGTCTCCTGTACTTGGTTGCTGTTGCTTATTTACTTTTAGTTGAGCAGCATGTTGAGTGCAGGACTTTTACAGTCAAATTTGACATTTATATACCATCCTATTGGAATTAGAATAAGATCTGAGTACTGCACAGCTCAGGTTTGACTTAAGCCCAAATTATCTATCTATACGCTGCTTAGTCCTCACTAGGGTCGTGGGGGGCTTGAGTCTATCCCAGCTGACTCAGGGTGAAGGCAGGTTCAGTTCTTTTGGACTGTGTGGGAGGAAGCCGGAGAACCCAGAGAGAACCCACGCTGCACGGGGAGAACATGGAGACTCCACACAGAAAGATCTTATGCTTTTTGGTTGTTTTGTCCATCCATCCATCCATCCATCCATCCATCCATCCATCCATCCATCATCCATCCGTGGAGGTAGTAGGCAGAGCAGGTCATTCCAGACTTCCCTCCCCCCGGCGATGCTTTCCAGCTCTTCCTGGGGGATCCCGAGGCGTTCCCAAGCCAGCCGAAAAAACAAGACAGAACTAAGAAAGCACGGCATTGGCATCATCATCGAACAGTTTTAAGAGGTAAATATTGTGTCTGCATTGGCTTAAAATGAACACTGATGGGCAGTCGTGCCTGTCAGGCTAAAAGTTTACAGTTTCAATTTGAAGATGTTCCAAAAAAAATAAATGTGGCAGGTTGAAACTGTTTTCTTAAAAGGAAATAGAAATAATATTATGTTAATTCTAAAACAGAGGCTTGATGTCCTCTGACTTTGAGTAGTAAAAATATGTACATACACAGTATCAGGCTTCTCATCTAACTGTTGATAAGATGCATTCTGTCAAATATCAAACTATTGCATTAAATCAGAAATTCCCTTGCAGTAACATTCAGATGAAATGTTGTTGCATTTCTATCAAATTCTTATTATTATGAATATGAATAACAACTAAAAAAAAAAAGTTGTGTGTGGATCCAATTTTCCTCCACAAATATCATCTCTTGCGCTGTGCTCATTGTTAATTCATATTTTATTGAGATGGAATAGCACAGTGGACTCTGCCTTTCATGTCTAAGAGGGCAACGGGATGAAAGAGAGAGAAGGTGCGTGGGCTGTTTGGAGTAGAGATGGGTGTCATGCAACGCTGAGGAAAAAAAAAAAAGTCAGACTCAACCAGACAGATCGAGACGCTGGACAGAGAGGAACGCAGCTGAACTGTGGAGAAGGGGAAAATATTCCATGAGAGAGGATTACTGAATTCATTGTGGTGAAGCATGTCCAGGTCCAGATGGTGGATGACTGAGCACGGAGGAAAAGGTTCCTCCGTCATTCCTGCTAAGACGGATGGTTATTTGTCATGACAACCACAAGCATCCTCTTTTAAGGATGAGGAGTCAGACTCTTCTGGTGCTGTCTGGCTGATGCCTACACGCCCTGCCTTCTTCTACCTCCGTCACTGTGTTGTTCTTCTACCTCCATTTGGACACTTGTGTGTTTTACTCAGGTCTTGGAGGAGAAAAGCTGATTTGTAACTTCAGTCTTTTTGACTGGCCTCTCTTTGGACTACTGCAAACACTTTTGAATAGGATGGATAAAAGCATTGACGGCAAAGTTGGACTTTCAAGACCTTCTTCCACTCTTCGACCTCCACCTTTGTTTCGCAGCATCGGACCTCCCGGGCTCCCGGCCAGCCTTCCTCCACACCGACGACTCCGCTCTTTATTCTGCAGGTCCAGAGCGGTGCTGCCTGCAAACACCATCGGAGCTTCAGAAACACACACCTTCACAGACATACAGACAGGAAGCCATGCCCAGGCGTTGGTGTGCTCACTGGACTGCAGTGACTCAGAGGATATTCAATCCTGCACTGTGCTGAATGCACTTGAGTCTGACTCAGATCTGCACAGGAGCGCTGTGTTCAGGTCAGGGGGTTTCACAGACGCTCTGGTCTCAAAATGCCCCCAAGAACAAAGCAACCACCAGGAAAGCGAGTTGCTTTCTGATCTCTGTCCATCTGCAGCAGCCAGTGGGAGAAACAGAGGCAGGCAGGCCAGACTGGTGACTCCACTTCAGACATCAGAGGATCCCGCCATCAAACAGAAACAGCGGCTGAAGAAGAAAAAGAGAAGCTACAGGGTTGACTGTGCGGGGAGGCAGAAGTATGTGGTGCCGTCACTCACGAAGAAACAGGAAGACGCCAGGCTCTGCGAGTGGCTGCAAAGTCTGGGCATCGCAGATAGCAACGCGAAGGCCTCTGTCACAACAAACAGCCAGCAGCGGCTATTTGCATCCAGGTGCAGGGGGGCGACGGGCCACAGAGAACCAGACGCAGTGGCAAACCACAGGAGAGACAGACGGCCTCATTTCCTGCCTCCCATTTATCAGTCGGACTCCCTCTTGCGTGTGCCCCTCCTGCTTCCTGAAAACTCCCCCCCTCCATCACCCTATACCTGCCCAGACGCCCCGGTACACGCCCTACCTGTACCCCTGCTGCAGCCCCTCTCTCTGAGGAGGAAGTGGGGTGCTGAGAAGGGAGACCACTGACCTCCTTTAGGTCTACAAACTCTGGTTGTGTACTTTTCTGTGTGTCTGATTCATGTCTTGTAATTTTCTCAATTGATTGTTCATCTATATATGCATTAGTGAATTAGTGAGCAGGTGGACACAGTAACACCAGTAACACTTAATGCACAACATCTCTGCAACAAACTGACCTCTGTGATGATGTTTAGGTTTGATCGAGTGCAGGTACTACATCTGTTTTTTACTATTACGTTGTGTTTTGGGGATAAATACCTTCGAGTGTTTTGCTGGAAGGCAGGGATTTCCTGCTAACTTTATTGTTACCAAGCGACTAGTGGAAAGATTATGGGTTCGCTCAAATAAAGTGGAAATCTAAATTCTAATTAGATTTTAGTATTTATATCTTTGCAGGTGATTGTGTTATCTGAATACTATGTGTTGCAATTGAGAATGAGTGAAACTAGTGAGCAAGCAAGTTGAGAAGACTGAACATTTTGGTAAAAGTATTGGACAAATGGTGAAAAGCAGATAAACGGCTAAAAAATGAATAGAGTAACAGTTGAAATAGCTCGCTAGCTTAGAGGTAATGGGTTAGATAATTGGTCTGGTCTTTCGTTAAACCACTAAAAAGTCATTTCTGTGCATCATAGTGAAATATTTAGATGTCTTTGTCATGAAAAGAATCTCTTCCTGCATTAAAACGTCTCAGATGTAACCCTACAACATCCTCTGGAATGTGAAGCTTTGTTAAGTCACCGTCTCCGTCTCCGTGCACGCCCTCTGCATCCTGGGTGTACAGGCCATACATGTCAAACTGGAAACTGATTCTGAAGAAGAAGAGTGATACAGAAAGCCACACCCTGAAAGCTGACAGGATTGGTTCTTTGGGTTTGTGATGTATAAAAACCCCAGAAGTCCTAATCTGGGTTTTTAGGCCGTCATTGGTACGTTGCAGCTTCCAAGTGGAGCTTATTTCGCTCATGATGTGTCTTCTAGCATGTAAAAAACACCACGTGGACACGTTGACAAGGTAAAAAACTTGATTTTCTCAGGAGGAGGGTCTTTAATATTGAACTCAAGGCGAGCCGAGCTGACGGGTCAGTGGGCAGAAGAACAAATCTGACTTGATCTGAGTAACACATTCATATTTGTTTACATCCCTGCTAAGAAAATAGACAAGATTCCTTAAAGCTTACAGTTGGTTCAGCAAAATAACAGCTCAGCACTGATGCTGACAAGGTTTTAAAAAAATAAAAATAAAATTTAGCAGAGGGGGTCTTTAAAAAATAGTGTTTATGTATTTTTTGAAACAGAAAGACAATATAGCAGAATGAAAGAAGAAACACACTGCATAAACATGGGAACAAGGTAAAAACAAAACAAAAACAAACAAACTTCACCAGTGGAGGTCTTTAATGGGTGTATGATGAAAAGGATTAAGGGTGATGGATAAATAGGTAGAAATAATAGATGAACACTTTTCAACATGTTCTGCTGCTCCAGCTGGTAAAGCTGTCAGCTCCATTTGATTAAAACTACCATTACAATAAACCAATTCATATAATTGTTAGTGTTAGATTAAATCAAAAGAAGACATTGTGGTTGTGAGGAGCTGTGTTGATGAAG